ATGATTTTAATGGCATTGTACTGTATCCACGTGTGGTTATATTGTTTTTTTAAATGGTCAAATAAATCAAATACCTTTTTTTTTTTTTAAGTACCGTACAGCACAGAAGAGTATTTTCATGATACAAGAATTTTGACTTCGATACCAGGTTTAGTATCACGATACTGGGTAACATTGTGATACTCAAAACCAAAATGATACCACAGCAAAATAAATATTGGTAATTGATCCAGACAAACTCAGCTACTGCTTTGTTCAATCGTTGGGCATGTTTTGAGTTCAATAGCATTACATTTGAAATGTTTTACGTCAAAATGTTTCAGAGACAGCCATTGATGAATAAATTATACAATCAATTTGACTTTGTTATCACCAATCTAACTACATAACATAATGGTAATCATTTATTTGAATGGTAAATCTAATGATAAACTGGGTGAATCAAGATGTAGCCTAGACCTATTCACAATACAGGTGAACGCATATTCAATAGGACTGTGGGCGTGCATTGATTGATGGAGCTTGTTTTGGCTGCTTTCATGGGGCTACAGATGACAAACAATCTGTTTCCCTTCCATTTGGGACTTTTATTGTACTGATCAATATTTGCATAGAAGTAGCTTATTTTATAAAAGTGCGCTGTCTCTAACCAGTAATGATGTCAATCACGAGGCAAGACGGGTGCGGCCCGTTGGAGCCCTATTCACACACACAGTGTTCGCTGAGACAATAGATCATCTTTGGCTGATGGAGAGATGTGACAGAGAGACCAATTAAGTGAATTAATAAAGTTTTTGGTACCGAACTATTTTGTTCTAGTATAGAAAAAGTATTGGTATACCGTGCAACACTAGTATAGTCAAGTAGAGTATAGTTCAGTACAGTAGATTTCAGTACAATACAGTAAAGTAGAGTATCGTTCAGTACAGTACATTATAGTGTACTCAACTTTAGTGTGCCCTATGTGCCAATGACATGGACGTTGATTAAGGCAGCCCCCCACACCTCTCTAAATCAGAGGGGTTGGGTTAAATGCGGAAGACATTTTGGTTGAATGCATTCAGTTGTGCATCTGACTAGGTATCCCCTTTCCCCATCCTCTAATGTTTACTGTACTGAACTCTACTATACTGAACTACACTCTACTTTTCTTTAGTGTGCCCTACTTCACTGTACTGTACTGTGCTGTCCAACATAGACGTCTATGTTTGGGCCAAATGAAGGCCGGTCCAGATGTCTGTGGACATTGAAATTAAGGCAGGTCCGGACCAGACTAAAAAAGGACATCTGTGGACGTTGAAATCAAGGCCAGGGCGGACTGACCAAATGTCAACTACTTTTCAACGTCCATGCACGTCCAGTGTCGTTTGGTGCTCAGTGGGTGAGGACGCTGGTTACAGTAAATGGAAAGAGAAGGGTCTCATAGGTAGGTGTCAGTAAGAGCCAGGAGGGAGAGAGGGAGAGAGGGAGAGAGGGAGAGAGAGAGAGAGAGAGAGAGAAGTTATCATCTGAACATGACAGTATGCCAGTGGACGGGGATGGGAGGACAGTAGCAGGTGACCCAACTGTGGTTTGTGACTACTATGATTTCCCATGATTGTACACAATTCAGTTTTTTTTTTAGGAAATTCTGTTACTGATTTTAGTTTTAATCACTTAATCATTCATAAACAAATTGATATCAGTAAAAACACTAACTAATTGATAGATCAACCTTTACCTCTAATGTTTTGGCATCACTTTCTTAGCACTTCTACAATGGAATTTGTATGGTAGGTTTCGTTCAAGTCAAAAGGTTTGCAGTCAAAAATTGATTGAATTCAAATGGATTTAGCCGGAAGACGGACAGAAGACCGAGGCAACCACCTGTGCTAATTAGCTATCTATCTTGCTAGGGAACAACTGTGTGTAACGGAAGGAAAAGTGTTTAACTGAAAAATACGGTCAGCTACAACGGTGTTAAACCTGGTTAAAACAGTGTACTGTAAGTGTATATTTTGCATGTGAAATTATTTTTGATGTGATATCAAAGTGAAGGGTTTTATGTTTCTAGAAGCATATCGCAATTAAAAATCGATTCATGTTGAGATGGAGTATTTGACTGTTTTGGCTCCCAGAGCCAGTCTCCCTCCAACATAACATGCATTATAAGGTCCTTGGATGTTAAGACGTAATGGTAGGCTCGCCAACACTCCTTAACAGTACATTATTAGGCTACAGATAGCCCTTGTAAACTCTAGGTGGCATTCTGCCTTCTCCCTACAGTTTTCAGCCGTTAGCTTCGCCCACAACTGGCTCATGTGAACTACAATCCCGGCGCTGTATTTTAAAGTTTAGAAACATTAACAATGATCGCTTGCAATACGGCTTTCGAAACATATGGCCCTATCTTTCATAAGCGAGAAAGAATCATTCAAATAAAAGATACATTTACATTTTTAGTCATTTAGCAGACGCTCTTATCCAGAGCGACATACAGTTAGTGAGTGCATACATTTTTCATACTTTTTCAAGATACACTTAATGTAGCAGTTTTGCACAGATTCATACAGCTATGGGTGCCGCCATCCAACGAAACTACACTTACCCAACGAAACTACACTTCCTGAGTTACGCTTACACACAGGTGTTCGGGGCATGCTAGATAGCCAATTAGCGCAGGTGGTTGCCGCTTGTCTTCCATATGTTTTCCATAAACAAGCGCTGTGACATGGAGATTTTACCATGTGGGAACACTAACCCTATTAAAAAAGGTGTCTATCAATTTAACCTTTTTTTTTTTGCTAATATGAAAGATCCTTATGCTTCCAAAACCGTACCACAAGCAATGCCTGTTAATGTTCTGACTGAGCGTCGGGGCTCTTAACAAAATTCCCCTGTACAGAAGACGCCTTTGTCCAATGACTCTTATGTGTAATGTAATGGGAACTGAGAGTCATGATCAAGGCAATACAGGCCAATACCTGATATAGCCTACAAGAGGCTACAGATTAGGAATCCTGAATGATCAAATCACTTATAGGAGAGGCCTAAAGTGTACATCAGAATTGATAATGGTCTATTAATCAACACACACTATTGTATCAAATGTCCATGCAAGCTCAATATGCCTAATGACACATTTAAGGGTTGTTTAGACTTGGTTTACGCCTATAGCATTAGTGTAAGTAAGCATTTCACTATAAGGTCTACACCTGTTGTATTCGGCCCATGTGACCAAAAAAAATTGATTTGAAGGTTTGTTTTTTCTTAAAAATCGTAAATTTACATCTAGCAAATTGGTATTTGACTATTTGTGAAACAATGTAGCCTACGAATGTTTACATAGCCGTTTGGAAAACAGGAAACATTTGCTTTGATGTGCCAGGTCTGAATAAATTCGTGACATAACGTTAAGTGGCTGGGTTACTATCAAATCCTGTTATGTTAAGTAGCTCGAGATTATCTCCCTTGATAGAGCGTTAGCGGGATGTAGCCAGGATACGTAACACTGTAGCAGAATGGCAACACATTGAAATAATGTAACAATGTAGCGAAGGAGTGGCAGCGGGAAGTGATAGAACACTGTCACAGTAACCGAGTGGTTTCACATCATCTCGAGATTAGTATTTTAAGGCTTATCAAATAATTATACTGACCTGTTGCGTTCTTTCTGCCGGATTCATCATCACAGCTTGACGAAAGCTGTTATCGACATAAGACGCCATTGTTTTGAAGACAAGTTTAAAATAATTAAATTGCTTATCTTGTTGACAATTTGTAAATATTTGCGGTCTGGATATTCACAGACCAAGCCACAATCGGAGTCTGTTAACCACTAATAAGAGAACTCCAGTGGTCTAAAGGCCACAATGGCCAGGCCACAATGTGAGCCTCGGGGTTTCTTCTGTCCCCAAACCGATACCAAAAGGCTGCCACCGGTCCCAACGAAAACAATTGCTATTAAGGTGCGGCTCGAAGAATCCTGAATCCAAATCCCAGTAGATTTGTCGCTATACAGTTGTATTATGGAAAAACTGTTCCTTTATCTAAACCGACGCTAAAAGCAAATACATGTATCTTCAGCATTCTTGATTTTGCCACAATTCCATGTATCCGCCTTCAAATAAAATAGTAAACTACTAATCTATCCTGGCAATAACCGGTTGTCCATTTTTTATAATAAATGAATAGGCTACATGCACAAAGGCAACCTTTAAAAAAGCATTATGATGGGTTTAAAAGTGACGATGGGTCCGCCGCCACAGCTTTCTGCCGTATGCCACCATGGTGACTGACACAAGGGGAGGCTAATGGGCGAGTCCATTTCCAAAAATGGAGCCGGAGGACAATGCATTGTGGCCTACAAAGCTATCATTTGTCGCCATCCAATGACAGAAACTGGAATAACACATACAGATAGGCTACTCAAGGAGTAAAATAGGCTACTCAAATGCAAATGTAGGAATAATTCATTGTTATAATTAATTGTTTGGGGGGCCTATTTATTGAAGCTCTATTTGACTGGAATTTCATTCCGCTTTGATCTATGGAGGAAAATGCCAACTGTATGAATAGGAAATGAGAAAAAAAACTATTCTATTCAATTCCATTTAATTATATTATACTTATTTCTACTATATTCTAACAACGTGTTATATTTGACATGCTCCAGTGCTGTTCAAGGTTTTCAAGAAAAATTGGTGGACCATGGTACATTTACATTTTGTAAAATTGGACACCGAATTGCAGGTCATTATGACACAACCGAGTTAAGTAATGTCGCTTTCAAATACTAGTCGGAACTAGGAAACTCGGAAATGTCCAACTTGCTAGTTCGTTAAATACGGCAGGTGGAGTCAGCAAGTCAGACATTTCCGAGTTTCCTAGTTCCGACTAGTACGAGAACGCGGCACTAAAGCATTCAAACACTGACACTGTGACAACCATGAGTCGCATGGCAACAGCTCACTGACCCCATGACCAGCGCGCACTGGGCTCACATTATCGCCCGCGGGCGTGCTGTTTAACCGTGTACCCGGTGCTGGTATCTAGTCCAAAAATAACAGTTCCAATGGAGAGTAGCAAAATGGTACAAGGAAGGCTCCCCCAAGCCTATGGACAAAGGATGCTTTTTACAGGTATGTGTCACATAATTATTGGGTTTGATGTAGAATGTTACAAGGGTAGAAATAGGTTACAACAATCACCTCTTATTACATAGTCTATTGTGTGTAGCCTACAGTATGTTCCATTTTATTCATGGTGTATATAATTAGGCCTATTTTGGAAATTATACATTAGGGGTCTGTCATGATATGAATATTGGTATTTTGTGATTTCAATGACATATAGATAGGTCAGGACAAGAAACTGCTGGGGTGAGTGGATGAGAGATACTTGACACAGCATTTTCATTGGCAAATGCACTCTCTGTGTGTAAAATGAAACCACCCTACCATCCTATTCCTTAGGGCACTACTTTAGACTAGGGAAAAGTCTAAACGGGATCCTTTGGACATCCCAACTCTGACGTCACCCCATGGAAGTTCACATTTAAAATGGTTAAGGTACGAGTTAATGTTAGGGTAATGGTTAGGTAAGAGTTAAGGTTAGGGTAGGGTTTAAAGTTAGGGTTAGGGTTTAGGGTATGGACGTCCCAAGGATTCCGGATAGAACAAACCTTTAGACTAGGGCTCTGTGTTGCTCACGATTTTATGAATGGTTCTCACATTTCACTATGTTGATTCTAATAAGGTCCAGATGGAATTGGAGACTACAGGGCAAGATTGATCGACTTTCCCCGCTACATTGGCGATGGCCCTTTGTCACCTGAGGGTACAAGCGATTTGAATTACCTGTGCCGGCCTGCTCCCTGCACCCCACCCCCCATGCCCAAACAGTGCTACATTGGAGGGGTGGGATGGGGCATGCAATATCACCAGCTGTTGAACAGTAGGACGCTGCACAGCAATATGCAAATTAAGGTGGGGCCCAAATGAAGCCTGTGAGCTGGATGTTAATTAGATTATTAATAAAGGAGGGAGTTAGGCGACCTTGTTGAACATTTAGTAGATTAGCCGCATCATGTATTTTATTGTGGTATGACATAATGGAAATGCAACATATGCAAATGTAACCTGGTGTTATCAAGACCTATATGAGTATTGTCTTATGTTTAAGACAAGTTAGTTTGTTCTCATTGAAAAGTCATGCAGCATGTTTAAATGGCTCATGGTAACATTATTGATGTTACCTGCCACAATGGTAAGAATGTTGTCACAAAACAATAGTGTAATCATGATTTTATAATCATAGAGATCCTCTTAAATTACTAGAGGGGCTATGTCATAAGCCCTCAAAGTTCCATAATGGGGTGAAAATGGCAGCCATCTTGGTCAGGGAGAAATCCAAAACCAGTCTAATTTCAATGAATGGCAGGAGAGGCATAGGTGATGCATTTCCTGCTTTTACTTATGCAGGAAATTAAAAGTAAGGCATGTGATCTATCAACATTTGTTAATGGAATTATAGTCAACCTAAAATATTGTCATATAATTATAAATACAGTTTATATGGGTTTTATGTGAGTGCTATTATATGATACAATATCAGTACTTGTTGCATTTACAACTTGTCCAAGTCCTATCATCAACTGATTTGAGCCAGTGTATGGCTATGGATGGACTGCATTCTTTGAATGGAATGTTGGCATATTGGCAGTTCATTTGAAAAATTAATGGGATCATTCCTCTAAAACTGGCTGGCTAATTAGCTAACACACATACAGTGCAGATACATTCTTCACATTCATTGTTTTACACAATATCGTATCACAGCACTGGCAAACCATGGTTGACCAACTCCCTGACCAACATGGCTGACCTTTGGACCTTCATAATAAGGTTAATGTCCATTCTACTATTCTAATTAATAATGATATGGTCACCTGTCACTATGGCCAGAATGATGTCATAAGAGAATACTGTAGTCATGAAGTCATAGCTCACCAGAGCTGTGTACCGGCACCTCATATTTTCTACTGCTTGAGCTCCTGTTCCTCTTATAGAATATTAGCTCAAAAGTATCGTGGAGCTCCTGCATCTATAAATGTAAACAGTACGGGCACCCAAAATAAGAACCGGCACCTATTTCAGTCTAAGTCAAGCACTACGATCACCTGTCACAATGCTCAAAACTGTAATCATGATTCTCAACAAATTATGCCACAGTGCTTGAATGTTGTCAGGAGACAACAATACTCTAATCACGATTCTCAAAGTTGTCATGACTCATGACCCTATTCTGACACATTCTCATTCTGATGCCGGCATTACATCGGTATTAAGACAAGCCACTTAAATTGTGACAATTTATTATATTCGTTCAAATGTTATAACATACAAAGTGACTCAGACCATATTGTTCCTACAGAGAGCTGAATTCCGCTCAGACCTTGAGGACAGAGTCACCCACAGATATCAAAACCCATGGTAGGCCCCACATGTGGTAACCCACACTTTATTTAATGTATTTTATTTTCAGCCAGTCAGAATCACTTTACCTGCACGCTGTGCACATTTCCAATGAGAAAGTGATAGCATCACAGCAGGCTTGTGGAGTGTTGAGTGAACGTAGGTGCACTGTTTTCCATCCATTATTCACTGCTTCCACTTTTGCAGGAACGCACCGCCCCACTTTCTAGATAAGCAATCTGTTGGAGCCCGCAGCAAACTCGCATGGACACACAACAAGTATGACTGTTACATCCCAGATAACAACAAACAGTTCCTTCTCAACAGGCAAGTCATTAACTACAGAAATGGGACATTTCCTCCCTTCAAACACCAGTATGAAGGACACATTGCATAACGGAAGATATATTTGACCCAGTAAACCCAATTGTAAGGGAGAGGATGAGGGGCCCCTCTTTTGACACGCACTCCTATTTCTGCATAGGCCTTGTTCTCAGGGCGTATCTGACCTCTCATTTGATATGTCACTTTTTGTATTATGAAACTATAGCCACAGCATTTGAGGAATTCGAACATGTGATGCAAATTTATTATAAAGTTTCAGGGCCATGCGTGATACAGTGCCTTGCAAAAGTATTCATACCCGTTGGATTTCTTCACATTTTATTTTGTTACGAAGTGGGATTCAAATGTATTTAATTGTCATTTTTTTCTCAACAATCTACTCAAAATCCTCTAATGTCAAAGTGGAAGAAAAAATGTTAAGATCTTTTAAAGATTCATAAAAATGTGATAGCTAAAATATAGTCGTTGCGTAAGTATTCAGCCCCTATCTTCAGGCAAGCCTAAATTATTTCAGAGGGCAAATTTTGCTTAACAAATCACATAATAAGTTACATGGACTCACTCTGTGTGAAATAATAGAGGTTTACATTATTGTTTAATGACTAACCCTTCCTTTGTCCCCCATACATACCACATCTGTATGGTCCCTCAGTCAAGTATTGCATTTCAAGCACAGATTCATCTACAAAGACATGGGAGCTTTTGGAAAGCCTCATAAAGATGGGCAGTGATTGATAGATGGGTAACAATAACAAATCAGACATTGAATATCTCTTTAAGCATGGTCAAGTTAATAATTATGCTGTGGATTATGTATTAAACCACCCAGACACATCAAAGTGTCAGTCCTTCTGAACTGAGCTGCAGGACAGGAATAAAACTGCTCAGGGATGTTACCATGAGGTCATTGGTGATTTTAAAACAGTTACAGAGTGGCTGTGATGGGAGAAAACTGTGGATGGATCAACAACATTGTAGTGACTCCACAACAATGACTTAAATGACAGAGTGAAAAGAAGAATACAAATATACAGAATAAAATATTCTAAAACATGCATATTGTATACAACAAGGCACTAAAGTAATACTGCAAAAAAAAACATGGCAAAGGAATACACTTTTTGGCCTAAATGCAAAGACTTATGTTTGGGGCAAATCCAACCCATCACTGAGTAACTGCCTCCTCATTTTCAAGCATGGTGGTGGCTGCATCATCATATGGGTATGCTTGACATCGGCAAATACTGGGGAGAGCTAAGCACAGGCAAAATCCTAGAGGAAAACATGCTTCAGTCTGCTTTTCACCAGACACTGGGAGAGGAATTATCCTTTCAGCAGAACAATAACCTACAACACAAGGCCAAATCTACTGTACACTGGAGTTGCTTACCAAGAAGACAGTGAAGGTTCCTAAGTGGCCAAGTAACAGTTTTGACTTAAACCTGCTTGAAAATCTATGGCAAGACTTGAAAATTGCTGTGCAGCCGTGATCCCCAACATCTTGACAGAGCTTGAAGAATTATGAAAAGAATTATGGGCTAATATTGCACAATGTGTAAAGCTCTAAAAGACGCAAGAAGACTCAAAGCTGTAATCGCTGCCAAAGGTGTTTCTAACATGTATTGACTCAGGGGGCTGAATACTTATGCAACGACTATATTTTAGTTATTTAATTTCTATTCATCTTTTTAAAAAGTTTTTTTTTTTTATCTTCCACTTTCACATTAGAGTATTTTATGTAGATGGTTGATTTTGTCATTTTTTAAAATCCATTTTAATCCCACTTTGTAACACAATAAAATGTGAAGAAATCCAAGGGTTATGAATAATTTTGCAAGGCACTTTTTGGTCGGTGAATGAACCCATTCAAACCACACATCATGCTTGACCATTTCTGTGTGTAGTATTTTTAGTGAACAGTATTCATTAGAAGGATTATTATGAAGGGTTATTATGATATTTTTGCCTGACAAATACCTACAACTCATAAATGCTTCTTTGTTTTTCCCTTCCTAGAGAGATTAACTCGTTCAGAGAAAAGCTGCAGGTGCCTCACAAATTAGTTCCCCTGAAATAGTTTGGGTGAAGAACGGAAGATGATTCAATCAGCTGTGTTGTCCTGAAGACCTGACCAAGTGTCTGATAAACACCACCTTGTCACCTACTGTATACAAAAGTGAATAAAACCATTTTACTCTCTGTCAGTACTCAATTACAACTCTCGTGAGTAATTTGCATGATATATTTCACTGAAACGGTTTAGGAGCACTGCAAGTAGGCTACTATACCACACCCTTACACTGGTGTATTTTGCAGTTAGCTGTGCAGCAACAATTTACAGTAAATTAGCAATTTAAATCCTCAAACAAGGATTTGATGAGATTAAAATATCTCCCAAGTTTTGTCTGAAAAGTGAAAGTATAGCAAAATGTAAACCATACATTTTTGGTTAAGTCCATTGGCTTTGCTTTAAAATCTCAAAAGTTTCGCCACTTATCTAAAAGTACTCAAAGATTTGTTCTGCTCTGCTAGCTCTACATAGGGAACCTCGAGAATAAAAACAGCAATTCACCAAGGATGACTTGGACACCAATATTGGATACCACAGGTCCGGGACCCAGGTCTTTCCTGTCTTGTGACATAGATTCAAACTTTTGATAACAAGTGTGTGTGAAGATTCTAACTTTTGATAACAAGTGTGTGTGAAGATAATCCATCCCCTGAGCAAAAGCAATTACATTCGCCAAAGTCTAGCTCAGATAACTGCTGCTGACTCAAATAGATTGGGAGAGGAGCCTTTACCGCACCGGAGAATTCCAAATGTCATGTAATGAGGCACACCAACATATTCTTGTTAGCTCAATTTCAATTTGGTGGTAATCTTGCCTCCATTTAATAGCTGACCCTTTCTAAGGCCTCTTGTGGCAATACAGAAATTGCATATATTTTTCTAGTGATTTTCTATCAATACATGGCCAACATATTCACATGCACACTTTTGGGACATATCTACTATCCATGTAGGTTATAGCAGTGGTTGAATGGAATGGGATTAGGCAAAGGGGTTCACTACTTTAGGATTGGGCACAGAACAATGTCGATATAACATATTTTAGTTAAACATTTTGGAAAAGCTACTAATTTTTGGTAGTTTCACCTCCTTAAAAATCCACATCCAACTCAGTAGACAGCAGTGTTGTTCCCGGTTTTACAACGTATCTGCGCATCTAAATATAGGAAATAAAATTTCACGATATCCGAGATTGAAGCTCTTTAGTTTCAAGTCAGCAACATTAGCTTCCCGGCAGCAACATTAAAACTTCCGGGTTTTGGATTTTTGCCATCAAAATAAAAGTCGGCGGTAAAACGCTAACTGCAGCGTGATAATCTTTTTGCATTATGTAAAACAATTATATCTACATGGAGGGAAATCTGAACGAAAGAGAATTACTCATTTATATAAGATAAATAATATTATAAGGTGGAGCAAATAGGTTTGCATGGGGCCCCTAGACACTATACGGTACAAATATAGCACTGTACAGGCAAAACAATCAATTGTGTGTCCATAAAACCAGGGTCCAGTCTATTCACTAGAGTCCCTCTAATCCAAAACAGGTGAGTCTGAACAAAAATCAAGGTCATAACAAGTGTTGTTGGACTTTTTACTGTGGTGAAATAGCTTAAAATAGAGCCATGGACACTATATGGACAAATATAGCACTGTACAGGCAAAATTATAAATTGTGTGTCCATAAAACCAGGGTCCAGTCTACCTTTATCTGGTGAGCACAAGGCAATAATATGTCACACAATCACAAAAACTCGAACCCACATCCCTGCTACTTTCAGTCAAAAAACCCATATCCAAGATGCAAACCTTTTGATTAATTGCGACCAGGATGGGTTGAAGAAAAGCGCTGTTAACCTCGGTGATAACCATTGATAAGCTATAGGCATAATTGGAGTGATACTAATCTATAGCAGCATGATCTTACTATGATACAAAAAAAAATTTTTTTTTAAAAATGGTCTAGCCAAATCGCTTGACCTGATGCATGTTTGACCATGTAAGGCCTTGGCTAATTTAAATGTATAAAGTCTGCAACCTGCTCATCATCATTAGGATAATGTGGGTCATTTACAGGTATGCCAGCCAGTTACCACCCCATCTACTGATCACATACAGCAGTTTCCATTGTTTCTTTGAAGCAGTTAGTACTCACCTAATCACATGCTAATAGTCTGAATTTTTTACCTACATTATAGGGCACGCCATGACTGCAAGTCTGGTTTGGAATGGCGTTTTATTTCATACTGGAAGCAAACAAAGAGAAAGCTAAAATAGTTAATTTATTGTTTTGTCATGTAGAGCTCCGTGTAGCTCAGTTGGTAGAGTATGGTGTTTGCAACGCCAGGGTTGTGGGTTCGATTCCCATGGGGGGCCAGTATAAAAAAAATGTATGACTAAAATGTAGATATAGTCCTGAATTAGTCAGCAGAGAGTTAAAGTGACAGTACAACAATGCATAAGTATGATTTAGGCTCAACATGAGTTCACCGGCCTCAGAGTAGGTGCTGTTAATGAGCCTTGCTGTTCTGGCATTGATGGACCTCATCTGTTTACTTGAAGAAGGGATTGGCTGTTTTGTATTCGAGGGACTCTAGTGAGTAGACTGGACCCTGGTTCTGGACACACAATGGATCGTTTTGCCTATACAGTGCAATATTTGTACCGTATAGTGTCCAATGGCTCCATGTCACGATCGTCGTATGAGTGAGTAGACCAAGGCGCAGCGTGTGAAACAAACATGACTTTAATTAGTTAAAGTATACCAAACAAAACACGACTCGTGAAGTCCACGGTAAACAAATACCGACACAGAACAAAAACCCACAACACCCAAGGGAACACATACAGTTTAAATATGGCTCCCAATCAGAGACAACCAGCCGACAGCTGACACTCGTTGCCTCTGATTGGGAGTCACACAGGCAAACATAGAAACAGACAACCTAGAACACCCAAACAAAGAAACAGAACACATAGAATGAACACACCCTGGCTCAACATATAGAGTCCCAGAGCCAGGGTGTGACAGTACCCCCCCCTAAAGGCGCGGACTGCGACCGCGCCTCAACTAAAGCAAAACAGGGGAGGGCTGGGCGGGCATACCTCCTCGGCGGCGGTTCTGCCTCCGGCCTTGACCACCACCCTCCAATGAACCCCCCATAGCGCCCCTGGTCCAGTCTGGCTCCGCTGGCTGGAGCTGACCTGGACGTAGCAGGAGCGGCTAGCTTCAGCTCCGTTGGGGAGCAAAAAAGCGGTACCTGATCTGGCACCGATGACCCAGGCACGGGTTGTGCCGGACTGACGACTCGCACCCCTGGCTTGGTGCGAGTGGCAGGAACGAGCCGGGCCGGGCTGGCGACGCGCACCGTAGACTTGGTGCGAGTGGCATGAACAGGCCGGACCGGGCTGGCGACGCGCACCGTAGACTTGGTGCGTGGAGCAGGGACAGGCCGGGCTGGGCTGACGACGCACACCGTAGGCTTGGTGCGTGGAGCAGGGACAGGCCGGAAAGGGCTGGCGACGCACACCGTAGGCTTGGTGCGTGGAGCAGGAACAGGCCGGGCAGGGCTGGCGACGCACACCATAGGCTTGGTGCGTGGAGCAGGAACAGGCCGGGCTGGGCTGGCGACGCACACCGTAGGTTTGGTGCGTGGAGCAGGGACAGAACGGGCTGGGCTGTCGACGCACACCGTAGGCTTGGTGCGTGGAGCAGGAACAGGCCGGACCGTACTGGGAACACACACCACTGGCCTTAAACGGGGATCAGGAACGGGCCGGACCGGACTGGCAATACACCTCAGTACCTCTCGCCGTGCCTCTACAACTTCCTTCCCTCCTCTCGCCAATGGCTCCCGTAACCCGGTGGCCTTCTCTCCTCGTCTCCCATTTCGCCCTGTGGCAGCCTCCTGCTGCCCAGTCGCCCATGCCGTGTGCCCCCCCCTAAAAATTTCTTGGGGTTGCCTCTCGCCTGTCCGACGTTGACCCGTTTGGCGCCGCTGCTCCTCTCCTGCCTGGGTCTCCCCCTTTATCGCCTTCCGGTACCGGACGGCCTCCTCCTCAGTAATCTGCCCCCAACCGAGGAGGACATCCACAAGAGTCACCTCCTGCGTGTGTTCCTGGACACGCTGCTTGGTCCTGGTATGGTGGGTTTTTCTGTCACGATCGTCGTATGGTGAGAGCCAAGGCGCACGTGTGAAACAAAAATGATTTTTAATTATTAAAATTAAACCCAAAAAAAACAACTCGTGAAGTCCACGGGAAACAAAACCGACACGGAACAAAAAACCCCCAAAAACAAAGGGAAACACATACAGTTTAAAAAAAGGCTCCCAATCAAGACAACCCGCCGACCTACACTCTTTCCCTCTGATTGGGAGTCACAAGGCAAACTAAAAAAGACCCCTAGAAACCCAAACAAGAAAAAGAACAATAGAATGAACACACCCTGGGTCAAATATAGTCCCGACCGGGTGTGACCTCCACTTTAATCTTTGACTTTTTGTCAGGCAAATCGCTGACTGATGCATTTTGACCATGTAGGCCTTGGCTATTAATGTATAAAGTCTCACTGCTCATCATCATTAGGAATGTAGGTATTACAGGTATGCCAGCCATTACACCCATCTACTGATCACATACAGCATTTCCATGTTTCTTTGAAGCAGTTAGTACTCACCTAATCACATGCTTATAGTCTGAATTTTTTACCTACATTATAGGGCACGCCATGACTGCAAGTCTGGTTTGGAATGGCGTTTTATTTCACACTGGAAGCAAACAAAGAGAAAGCTAAAATAGTTAATTTATTGTTTTGTCATTTAGAGCTCTGTGTAGCTCAGTTGGTAGAGTATGGTGTTTGCAACGCCAGGGTTGTGGGTTCGATTCCCACGGGGGGCCAGTATACATTTTTTTTATGCACTCACTAACTGTAAATCGCTCTGGATAAGAGCGTCTGCTAAATGACTAAAATGTAGATATAGTCCTGAATTAGTCAGCAGAGAGTTAAAGTGACAGTACAACAATGCATAAGTATGATTTAGGCTCAACATGAGTTCACCGGCCTCAGAGTAGGTGCTGTTAATGAGCCTTGCTGTTCTGGCATTGAT